TTACACTTTGGAAGATGGATTTCTTGGGCAGTAGAGATGTCCCTGAGGTGAACAATCGCATCCGCGAACGTGCTTCTTGAAAGGCTCGACTTCCATGTAGGGGGCACAAAGATTTCCTATACATAAGGCAATACATGGGCGCACGTATCGCCGTTTCCTCGGGGAACACCGAATGAGAAGAAACTGTGGAACGTCACCAGAACCACCAGGATCGGTTCCATTAAGGATCACATAGTCACACTTCACGTCATACTTCAATTTTTAGCTCGGAAGCCATGATCGTAGCAAGGTTTGTATGCTATTCTCTTTCTGTCCCGGCGTGAGCACGCTGGGAGATACCGCAAGGCCTCGTTGAAGAGCATCGCCTGAAGATATTGAAAATTGTACTGCAGACATGCACTCAACGAACGCGTTGGACACAGTTGATGTGGAAAGAGGAAACCCTCAGTGGGACTCAGGTGTTGCGGGACTCTCATTGACAGTCATGGCTCCAACTTGCGACACAATCTACTGTACATCAAATTGAGATCACCAGATATTATTGAGACTACAGACAGTATGGTTATGCTTCACTTCTCAGGAATAATACACGACGCTGTTAAAAGTAGACATAAAGTTTCTTTTCTCACTTCCCCAGGGTTTTTTTTTTTCTCCTTGGGACCACCTATCGATCAGTGGAGAGAGAAATTACAGTATCCTAGGACATTCCGAAGGAACAACGTATGCTCGGGTAGAGATGGCATTTGGTGCACATTCATTACCTACTGCATCTATAATACAAAAAAAAACCCAAAGCGGTTAAAGGTATCCTATCATTTGAAGGTGAACAACGACAGCAGTGGAAGGCTGACCGAGACCCGTCGCACCGTCATCGCATAACCGAAGAGGATCTCGAGGATCTCCACGAAGGTGAGCACGGACGCCCCCAGCAGCAGGCCCAGCGTCCCTCCGATGTCACATAGCAGCGGGATCTCCGTGTACGAGTACTCTTCCACCACGTTTTCGAAGGTCAGGTCCTGCAACGAGACGACCGGCGTCAGCACGGGGATGGCATACCGCTCCGTGTGTGCCTCGTTTCTATTTTGGGATTACTCAGGGGAATGCATGCATGCACCGATGTCCTTTTCTTTGAAGGGAGCGGAATTAACTCCTTTGTTTCTGCATTTTTTTCTCCTCCAGCGCACTCCTGGGGAGTGGGTGATCATATTTCTCCCTATATAGCGCCTTTTGTGCATGGGTATCATCATTATAACAACCTCCTCACTCAACGTCACATGCTATTCTTATACCTCGCCAAAAAGCAAAGTATAAATAAACGTATCCGGCGGTACGTGACGGCTCGGCGGCACGGCCCACAGCCGAAGCCGAGAGTCCAGTCCGGCGGAGAGCGCAGCCGAAGGACGCACGAGTGACTTTGGGGGAACGGCAATGCAGGTGAGAATTTCCAGGCGTCGCTGCGGTTCTTGCCAAGGCGCTGCGAATGCCCGTTGTTTGGCGCTTCACAACCCGAGCCGGAACATCCTGCCTTTTCCAGTCTTCCGTATTTCCTCGACTCGACCCGAATTACTTAGGGAAACATTCTCAAAAAGAAAAGATGTATTCCTAAAGTCTTTGCCTTCCCACTTCACACTTCATTTCGAGCAATGTTTACCTCTCGCATCTCCTCGTCGAGATTGAAGAGTGACGTCTTTTATAACTCGATTTCTTGATTGTTCCACTTCCGAATTATTTTGACTTTGAGACTAGCTCGTAGAGCAATTAAGTATTGTTTTCCATTATCGACATATCGAATACTTGAGCGGAGGAGGATAGTCTACTTTCCTCTCGATTCTCATGCGAAATCAGTAAAGCAAACTTCGAAGCACAAACTGTTTCTTGTCCTTCCACCCCTAATTGCCACTTTTTCGTTCTTGTGGATAATAAAAAATCCAAAGATTATGGGCATGAAAAATGCGTTGTGTGGCATTCATAGCATAATCTCCATCAAAGACTTCGATTTCTTAACGGGTCGGGGGAAAATCAGCGAAGTAGATTAAAATTATTTCCCCTGAATCCTAAATCCTCAATGAATTAAAAATAACTTCTCTAAATAACTTGGAAAATCAATGGCAGATGCCACCGAAGTCACGCGATTGCCGGGGACCTTCGTGCAGCGACTTTTTCCGTCCGTCACATGAAATAAGAATTGATTTCCTTCCTTGCCCCTTTTCCTGACAGATCAAATCGACAAAGCGTGATGCTGCAGCCCCTGTTGGTGTTGTTTACCCCTGTCGCTTCTTGCTTACTCGTCAATCATGCAGCTAAACGAATTTGTGGCGAATGAATGAATAAAAGAAAATATATGGAATAAATTGATGAAGTTAAGCAAATGTATCTATAATTTATTTTTCACATCACGCCCGGGCATTTTAACCCTCATCTGGTACACCCGGGTTGCAAAGACACAAAATTCTAATTTTTTTTTGCAAAAAATCAACAAAAATATGAAAGTTATTGCCGCCGACTCTGACTAATAAAGATTATCCTGCTCGGTGCGGCCACCAGACGATATTGCCAGATTAAGAAGAAAATAATGTTAGTTCAGGTCCCAGGGACCCAGGTATACCAGTTGAGAGTTAAGGGTTTTGAAGGCTGGAGTAATACCGTGTCTCCCAATCAACAAAATGAGTCTTGACTCCATCTAGTGGCCAAGCAAGGAAGTTCTCTGCACGAATATTGACCGCAGATGCCACCCCTTTCACCTGTTTTTTTGTTTTGTTTTTAAAGTTTGTTTGTTTTGTCAAAAGTTTGTTTTAAATTTTGTTGAAAGTCGCAAATTTAAGCTTCTCATGCATCTTGTCCTCACTTGAGAACAGATGAAATTCAAAATTTCCATAATTTTTTGGAGCTGAAAGAAACAACGACCCCATGGAGGCCTTGTTTGAGAGGAGCTGATGCCATATCGCCCCATCCCTTGAATTCCGTCCCTCTGTGGCGGATTGGAGAATAAAAGTTTGCCTCAAACTGCCGATGAAATTCTAATCCATTCCTCAAACGTGAACTTTCAAGTGAAGATATTAAATAAATAAATAAAAAACATGGAAATGCTGACCCTACGGGATATAGCTGTAGCTACAATGTATTCATTGCCTCCCTGAGTTAAGCCTCGAAATCCTGACGCGATCTAGATTTACTGCAGAAACGAAGAAAACCTCCGACCGTATCATTTGGTAGATGGAGTTCCGCTTCCCGAAATTTTCTCTCGTTTATTGAATTTCCACCATTTTGTGGACATCCTAAGAATCTGGGGTTCATCTGGGGCGGAAATTGAGGACGGCCTAACACTTTCTGGTTCCTCAAAAAGTTTCAGAGACAAAGTTCCATAGTAAGAACGGTGAAAAATATTGAGAGAAATCATCTGCACTTGAACATGCGGCAAATTGCATGTCAGCATGAGACTCTCTCCATCAGGGAACAGGCAGCCACTTTTCTCGGAGCACAAATACTTCCAATTAAAAAGAAATCTAGAAACCGAAATGGTTTCTGGACGAAACCGAACAAACGCGAATACAAGCACAGACATGCCTGTCGACGCCTCCGGGGCTGGACTGACCTGATAAAAGACTCTGAACCGGGACTGGTTCCCTCCGGTCAGCACGGCCTCTCCGGAGGGGATGAAGTAGCTGCGGTCGCATTGCCTGGGACAATTGCAGTCCTGAGGATTCCATTCCCCCCAGAAGAGCTGCCTCTTAGCTACCGTCGCCGCCGCTGCGTAGCTCTTTTTGGTGTCGCAGGGTGGCGTTGGTATCACTTCTGCGGGAGTAACCGTCATGCATATCATGTTCTGCATCCAATTCAAGGCTATCGAATGTGCATGAAGTAGGGCCCTAAGGGGAACATTTCCTCTGATGCCAAGGGAATGTTTTTGCCATGCGTCGGAAGAAATAGAGAATATCGACTGTAGAAATAGAAGAAAGTTTGTCGTCTCATGTTGCGTTTAGTATTAACATTCCCAAAGTGACACTCAGCTTTAATATAATTCATAAAGTGTAAAAATGTGGAATGAAGTGAATGCGTAAACGGCGTTTTAAAAGATATCATGGTTCACTCACGTCTAGAGCATTTCGATATTGAAAAAAAAAACAGCTCTTCGGAATCAGTATTTGAATGCTGCAAGCATCTCCATGCATTCTCAACAATTCAGCATCAGATAAAGCGGTGATTAACATCCTCAATAAATTGCTCATGGCATGGAGATCTTATTATTTTTCAGTGGACTTCATTTTCTTGTGCAATAATGCTCACGGCAATGTCACAACCGCGTGTAACATTCATCAGGTTTTTCATTCTTTTTCCACATCAGGCATCAGACCACATGCCTCTCAGGGGATGCACCCGTTTCAGCCCGTTGCGATCCCCTCCTTTGCAGCACGACCGATCACCCGCAGAAGCAAACTAGATCGGGAATCCGACATCGTTTCTTGAATGTCCTTGGCCTAACCCCCCCGATTACTCTTCTACCAGGCTTCCTATCGCGCAAGATCTAATCCAGCCTGTAAAGCTCGTTGCATTGATTTGTTGTGTTTCTCCGAGGTGATTCTCTGTCTTCGGTACCCTTAAAAAACGTCCTCCCCCAATCTACCTGGTCCAACTGCTAGGTGGATAAGGGATTAATTTTTAACCAGGTGGATGTCCCCCCCGGAGGAAATACATCGAGCCATTCGCGCACTTGTATTTTGAGCCGGGTGGATTTTCACTCCCTGGTGGATTTTCGCCCGGGTGGACATCACTCCAACAGGTGGAAAACCGCCTAGAGATCCACCTAGTTCCAAATTGGTATGGGAGCTGGAAGTTTTGTAAGGGTAGAAGTGAAGAGAGAGGAAAAGAATAAGTAACATTTCGTTATAGGTCTGTATCTGGGATTCACTGAGAAGATGCAACTCAGAGAGATGCACCCTGACTTGTCCTCGAGTCGGTCGTGCCAGAAAAGTCCCCACACGCGGTCGCGAAACAAGGCGCGTTCAGTGGGGTCGTGACTTCAGCCATAACTCAATGGATTGAACGCCCCGCGTTGTGACGGGATGGCTCATGACCCGGCTGACTGGACCGAGCGATGGGAATCCAGATCCCGAAGGTAAGATCGATGACTTACGGGACATATAAGGGAGGCTACAGTTTGCACTCTCGTACACCTTCCTCACGAAGCATTCAGTTTTACACTTGGACTCGCTGTACTCGTGACTTTCGTTGCAAGGTCGCTGCTTCGTGTTTAACGTGTTGAACTGGTAAAAAAGAAAAAAGGGCTTCAATCGGGCACAGGACAACGGAGGGCTCAGAGGGTAAGGGCGAGACTGACATCGCGCAGGTCGATGCGGACGTCACTGCTCCAACCGGGAAAGAGGGTGAAGCCGTGGGTGCGGATATCCACCACTGGCGAGTCCGTGGAGTCGTGCAGGAAGATCTGAAACAATGCAATCGTTATCATTATACTTCACTTCCCTCAGGTAACTTCGTACGTGCGAGTTCTAGATCATGGACAGAAGCTGAAGACCGAAACGTAATATGTGGAGTCGCCTGCGGCAACAAGATCTGAAACAATGCAATCGTTATCATTATACTTCACGTCCCTCAGGTAACTTCGTACGTGCGAGTTCTAGATCATGAACCGAAGCTGAAGACCGAAACGTAATATGTGGAGTCGCCTGCGGCAACAATGCACAAATATACCGAATGCCAAAAATTTGTCAATAATTAAATCCTGTAACAGATGTTAAATGAAAGAAAAAGTAGCCGATTTATCGATATTTGGGCTCCCAATCTATAAAGAACGCCGTGATTGGGGAGAAACAAGGATATACTTCAATACCTACTTCAGATCATTTTCCATATTCTCGATGGCAAGAGGGCGCTGAAACGACTTCACAATGTATCGAACATGCTCTGGAGCCTAAGATTTGCTATAATGAGAGCCTACACAGGTTCTCATAAAAACTGAAATCGGTTCTCCAGTCGACTTCTTACCGGGCAGACTGTCAGGGGTGACGAAATAGCCAGATAGCATGTTCTGGAGGTTCTATAACAATTTTGCAAGCCAGAATGTTGTCAGAGTTGATGTCGACTGGCAACTATGTCGTATGCCACACGATGTTGAATGTGGAATGGTCGAGTGGGCAAAATGTCGATTGTTACAATACAGCACTAGTAAAAGTGTGACAAAAAAGTCGAACTGGATAGTTCGACTTTTTCGATGTCGAAATCTGAACGAGCAGAACGTCTGTTCTGTTCCGTGTATCCGGATGAAATCGAGGAGAGCATGATAGTTTGTGACAGTCAGGTACCTACGCTCTGACATGGAGAGAGAAAAGTCGTGACAGGGAATCGACGTTGAGAGTAATATCGTTTTGGAGTCTTCATGGAAGGAGGAAATTGAAGTTCATTTCCAGGTCACCTTCACTCGACATTTTGACTTTCGTCCTTTCAGGAATCCGACATAATCGATAATCGACGATCGAATTTCCAACATAAAAATTTATATCAAGTCATATTATGACTCAGTGTTTCCCAAACGGTGTGCCGCGGCAGACTGGTGTGCCGTCAGTAAGGCTTAGGTGTGCCATGAGATTTGAGAGTTGACAAAAAAACTAAAAACTAAAATTAAAAAACTTAAAAACGTAAAAACAAGAGGGAACGCCTTCTCTCAGTGGAAAACGAGCCGAGAGTTGTACTATCACGCCTCGTATCAAACTGCTGTGTTCAGCGAAGCAAGCACAAGTTTCCCATTGAAAGTGAGTAATTGGCTGGGTGTGCCGTTGCCGTACCGCAAATGTGTGCCGCAAATAAAAAAAGATTGGGAACCACTGACTTATCCAACAATGAACAATTTTCGCATCCCCCATCGCTGGTTGATGGAAAACTGTCCTCGCATTCCACTTTTCTTTTTGGCACTCGGGACATTCTGCAATTCCAATGCTGACCTTCCAGCCGACTTCCTTTGGGTCGATGTGGATCTCGTCGGTGTCCACCATCCTCAGGTAGAAGTTATTGAACATCCCACTCGTCATCACCTGGGAATCTGCACGAAAAAAAAAAGAATTACACAGAATGACTTCAGCGTCTCTCTGAAGGACGACTTGCCGATCTGACTTTACGGCAAAGACCTTGCAAGTCAAATGCATAGGATGTGAGAACGTCAAGCGTTCCTGGTAGTCAATGGTTTTTATTTCGGAACCACTGTGAATTTGCAGACAAATTTTATTTTGCAAACTTCTTTTTACCTCGAACTAATTCTAACGCAGAATAGCATATGGTACGAGCTGCCCTCCTACGTGTAACTGGTGAATCGTTCAGAAACGCATTCACTGAAATGATCAGGGATGATAGCGGAATATGTGGATATTTCTCTCTTACAGTAAGGAAATAGATACAGCATACGCCCTCATTGCTACCTTCTGATAACTACACGGTGAGTCGACATTAACTCAGCCAGAGCATTTTTTTTTCCGTCAACATAAACGGATGCAGTTCTCAGTATCATCGAGAAAAATGCATTTTGCCCTAACCTGCCGATATTCACCTCAGCAAGTTAAAAATGCAGTGTCAGTAGACTCGTATCATAAAGCAGACATCGATCAACTTGCTCACTGTATGTCGTGAACAAACACAGGCTGCAACAACTTAAAAATATATAATTGAAACGTTTTGTAAAAGTTCCTACAAAGCTAGGTCAAAAATCGACGAGAGAAGTAAATTACAGGAAATAAAAGGAGAAAAAGAGGAAGAAATAACATTTAAAAAGATATTCAATACAAAGGGGAATTATGCAACAAAACCAAGTTCAAAAACATGGCAAATAAAAGAAAAGCTGACGAGATGCGAAAAGGTCCAAAGAGGAAGGGGAACCTAAAATACAGAGGAACAGGACCCCCGGGACATTATTGATGAGCAGGATGGAAGAGAGTAGAAGAACACAGAACCTGAGTGGAGGGGTGGGGGGCAAGTTGAGGAGGTCAAAGGGGCTTGGAAAACGAGATTCAGCCAAAGGGATATTTCAGCCATTTGGGGAATTTTTTTTAGTATTATGGTGCCCACCCTTTATAAAAATTCGATTCACTACCAGCTCAAATTGCTGTAAATTTTTCCACGGAAAAAGGAGTAAAGTTTCTTTAATTTGCATCGAAAATCATTTTTTCCCAGCTCATATTGAGTCGTTAAATAAAATTGTTGGGTTCAAAATATAAAAAAGGAATTCAAACCTCGCTAGAAATAGGACAATCTTAAAATATATTGTCCATACTCAGATAGTGAGGAATTCCTGACATTATTTCCAATGTTTTCGATTTTTGAGTCCGACAATCGGTGCATCAACGAGTGATTGTGACTCTACTTAACCCTACCTATTTTTTATTGTGTCATCTGTGCCATCAAGTGGAAGAATCGTCTCATTGGCATCGCATGTATGTGATCGTACCGAGGGGATCCTTTCCACTCTAAGTGGGTAATAAGTCTGTTGACCCAACGCTTATAAAAACACAGAGAGGATTGCTGATGGCCAATATCCTTCAAATGAAATTTCATCCACAATTTAAGTACAATAATGTTCTACGTGGTCGCCATCTTTAACAGTGATGAAAAATTTCAGAAACTTGTCTGATGTCACCTGTGACAGTTTCATCAGGGTGCATAAGGTCGTTAGAAACACCAACTTCATTATGTTAGCCAGAGATTTAGCCTTAATTAAGTCTCTCATTTTGAGGATTGAAATTGAGCACTAGTTTGGTAGTAATAACGTATAATATCTGCCTGTTATTTCGGTCACCAAGCGATGACAGTTGAGACATGAGATCCCTTGGAAACAGAGTGTGTTCAACAACGCAACATAGAGAATATTTTATTTGTGCATCTAGGAGAGTGCCACAAGGCCCTCATGGTTGCATAGTTCTACGTACAGGAAACAATCACGCCGAAGCATTCAACCATGAAGCCAAGGAGTTAATTAGTGTCCTTCGAGTTGCAAAGTTGAAATAATGATGCCTAACTAGAAAGCATAAACTCTTACTGGGAGCTTATGTGGTTGATACTCAAGATTGGCAAATAGTTGCAATAGAAAGTGGAATGAGGCTCTACAGTAGCTATTTGAAATTTCCCCGGTTCACTGCAACCATACGAGCAAAGCAGAATTCGCGCGCATCTGTCCTTTCAACTTCGTAACTCGAGCGCCCTAATACGCCCATTCGTTTCTTGCTTCGGTTTGATTATGCGCAGCCTTACACCTATGCAACTCGGCGAGCCTTTTGGCACTCGCGGAGCTGTACATGCTGAATTCCTAGCATTCCATGCACTGCGGTTTAATATACACTGCGCGTCAATTGAAGTGGATATTTTGTATTTTTGGTTGTATTGAAGAATTCTGCTGTTTTCTCTTATTAAAATGTGTCAAAACAGAAGAAATGTTCTTGAGTTGAAATGAATGTTTTCGCAACAAAAAAATGCAAGTTAATATAAAATATCGACTTCAATTGACCCACAGCGTGGAACAACCTCAAAGAATAATACAAATTAGCAAAAGTATTTTCAGAATCCTACCCAGCCCTCTAAGCTCTCTTGAGTCCCTTCTTCCTACTGACTTTTCAACCCCCACCCGCCGGCTCCTCGAGCGGCCGAACTCGAGCTTCGCCAGTCCCGAACCTTAGAAACGACATGGACCTCAAAGGACTCACTTCTCTTGAAGGTGTAGCAAACCCCTATGTGGGTGTCGATCTTATACCATTGCCCGACCTCGTCGCACCTCACACCCCGTCCGAACCAGCACTGTGGAAGACAACATTGTCCCCGATGAGAATGATTCTCGGGCATATTCGACACCACTCGGACAGCTATTGCAGTTTTTGCCAAAATGTTGGGAGCTAGCCAACATTGTTGGAATTTCCATTCTTCTCTCCCCCCCCCCATTTACGTGGTAGTAAAGGAAATCCGAGACTCCCAGTTTTGTTAAAATTGACCTCATTATCGATGACTTAGGTGTCTTCATCGAAGATCTAGCACCAAAGGCATCTTGCAGCGAAGATGCCAGAACACCGAGACTGCCCTTCTCAAATAATCCACGCCTACACCTAGGCTAGTCTACTTCGTTAATCGAGCTTTGACTTTTTTTATTCTTCACTATGTAGATCTATATCTTCAAGCGCAAAGAAAGAAAGGGGGAACACAGCATGCGCTTATTTGAACGATAATTACCATTGCCAGATCATGAATAATCTCGCAGGCATGTCCGACCTCTAATTACGAGTCATCAGCATAATCTCAGCACAAAAAGATCGAATGAAGATCAAATGTTCTTGAGTCATTACGATTAAAATTGCGCCAAACAGGGATCTTCGAAACTCCGTGGAGTGTAACTAAATGATTGCTACCGTCGTAGTCAATTATGCGCCTGATGGCCGGCTCTTCTTTCAATTGCTTGCCTGTCGATTGACTGCCGGTAACGACCGGGGCGGATCCCGCCTGATGGATGGCATCGGTTGGCCTTGATGGATGGCCCCTGTTGATCCCGGATGGATAGCCCTGGATGCCCATCGCAGGTGGGCACGTGGGTTATTCCAAACCAAGAGGTGTAGTTAACCAGATTGGATTTTCGGAAAAAAATTAAGAATGCTCTGGAATTGGATATCGGATTTCATTGAAGCCAAGTAGGAACGAGTAAGAGTAAAGTATTTGATAGTTTAGGTACCGCTGAGCACCTCTTGGGTTGTTACCGCTTGACTCATGCAATGAGTTCGCTCCTAATTGAGCTGAACAGGTGTTAAATATGTTTTGCCTGAGGATCAGCAAACCAAGTAATTCCAGGGAAGGAAATGTGAGGAGTCATTCCCCATTTTGTAAAACAACAAAGCATTAACCATTTACAGATTGATCGAGTTATGATGCAGTCGAATTTTGTCGTGATTGAATTCCCATATGCTTCCCTTCCCCCCTCGCCCCCTTCAGCCTCCCTTTCCTCGTCCCCCCTCTCTCTTCTCCCACGCGAATAGTGGATGCTTACTTCGATGGTCATTCGCGAGATGTCGTGAGCCGTGAAATCCCACAATTCCCGGGCAGTGAGGTTCTTGAAGCCGACCAACTCCTCCATCTTCGCGTTGTACCAGGGCTTCTGAGCCTTCCTCTCCCATGTCATGCCTTTCCGGTTCGGCGTCGTCAGCAGGAGCTTCAGCCGAGTCGTGTTCATCTGGAAAAGTGACTGGATAGTGAAATCGTAAAAAAAAAATATGCGGAATATCTCGGGATCCTATCGAAGACTCACGACGTTCTTGTTGCACAGGGAAATGAGGGGGAACTTGAGCGACACGTTCCTCTCGATGAGGACGTTCACGTTGACTGGGGTCGACAGATAATACCTGTTAAGACGAATGTTTTCACGTGATGAACTTCTTTGCCGCGACGATCAATTTTTACTCCCGAAAACAAATCGAAACCTTTCCCACCCACGCCCCCAACGTAAATTAGATCTGGATGATGCTATTAGGCAAATTGCATCGGCAACACGTCACGCTACTCATAGAGTCGGCGATAAACGATGGAAGGGACAGGTACGACAACCGGGAGATCAAATAGAAAGCTGGCGAAAAATATGTCTATATTCTTACAATGAACACTTTTGTCCTCTCCCCTGATGATTGTCCTCTCCCATTCCGCCATGAATGATTCACCAGCTAATGAGACCTCACTTTCGATATTCTTGAGGGAAATGAATGGTTCCCCAGGTGGGGGGGGGCGATATGCCTCACATTGAACTATCGCAAGGGACGTTGACCATCGCGTCCGGGTGCCTCAGGGAAATGACGATCCAACGGCTCCTTCGTACTGTATAGGTATATGCAGTGTATGGCAAAAAGAAATACCGACGACTTTCAACCTGAATGTCTCCGCTCGCAACAGAACTGTTTTCGCGAAATTTTCCATGTTGAATTTTCACGTCGAGCTCCGTTTCCGTTTAAATTCATTCATTGGGCCGGTTGGCTCTTGCAGACGGTTTTCATGAGCTTATCCCCAATGAATGGCGGATGAATCAATAAATGTCAATACGGAGAGTCTTCTCGAAGTTCATTTGGAATCTTCTTAAAGGTCAGGCAGTACCTAATGCCTCAGAAGCGATCGCGGCTCGATCTGTGCCATTGTCAACAACAACAACAACAACAACAATGAATCGGCTCGACCGGTCTCGCGACTCGAGGATGACTCGAGCCTACGGAGGAAACGGAGCCAGAGCATGGCTTCAATTGACTCAAACCTATGAAAAGAAATGGAATAAAACTGTATCTTAGTGCGACTAGCCTGTGAGAGAAAAGCCCTGCCTTTAATTCCGCTAAGAATGTTCTGCACCGACGGGTTGGAGCGATGCCCGGATTGCTTCAGTTGATTTAGGCCTTGGCCTCGAGGCACATATATGTACCAGGTCCGTCGATAAGTCGACGTCTGACGATAATCGTCCTCGTCCGTGCAGCCAGAGGATCGCCCGACTCGTCCAAGGCGCAGGGTCAGGGCCGACAACATGACCCAGCACCGCGAATCGCGCTCTCCGCTCTCCCCATCGCACTCGGCCAAGGCTGAGCCCGCGTTCGCACGCTCCCATAGATCGTGCTCGTAGATCTCCCATGCTCTCATTAGGCATTTAAAAAAAAAAGGTCCCCGGGTCCAGATTGTGGGCCCTGCCACTGGGATTCCTCTTCAGTGTTTTCCCGACCCAGAAAAAGGGTCCCCGTATCCGATCGCATGTCGGAGCCTGCCGATTTCCGTCGCTGCGACTCGTGCTCGCTTCGCGAAACTCTCCTGATCTCAGATCAAGCGCAAACTGAGAGGAGCGCTCAAATTCGTTTAGTGGGTAGTAATTTAGATGCCAGCATTCAAAATGCAAATAAATTAAATGCAAGTAATCAAGGGTGAAGTTCTGATGCTGCTCTGTCGGCTATGTCGGCCTTGAGAGGGGGGCAATGTCCTCTAATTTTTTAAAAAGGATTTCAATTATTTCAATTTGAATTTTAATTGGGGCTACCAATCGATCGCAACATTTTATCGATTAATCGCGAACCATTTTGTCAATCTACCGGTCAATCAATCGAGCATCAATCGAAGCCATAATTTCCTCCGGGAATGAGACGAACGAGAGAAACGTAAAGATTCTTCCCCGCGTCAATTTCTACTTGCCATCAATTTGTCAATTCCACTGCGGTCTTTGCTGGAATGACAGATGCAGTTTCCTTTGATCGTGTCGGGAAAACAAGGGGAAAGGGGGGGGGGGGGGAAAGGAGCCTCATTGTTGGATCCCATCACACTTCGCTCCATCGCACTTATCCTCGAATGGGATCGCGGGTGGAAACGCGAAATTGCAGGACGGCAGCAGCCGCTCGGGAATCGACCGAGGAGAATCGCCTTTGTTCTTCCCGCTTAGGAAGGCCGCGAATTTATTTTTCTGAAGCCGGCTGGAGAATGATTGCCCTTTACGAGACATTACAGGACATCGTTTCTTCAGATATCAGCTATAAAATACTTTTTTTTTTTAAATATCTCTTGGACCAAACTGTTCTGGGCGATGAAAATGAAAGAGAAAAATCAGGCATTCGGGGGAATAATTTCAGGGATCTTTCGCTACCTTTTACTTTAAATTTTCTTCAATCGCGAGGAAAGCTCGGCAGCTGCAATTTTGAAACTAATTTCTATTATTCACCCGCCCCCAATCCAACAACGAATCCGCTCGCCTGCAGAGCATTCGATCAAACTGAATCTAATTAAAACGCACGAGAGTGCATTTCCTCCCTCGCCGAGTCGCCGAGTCGCCGAGTCGCCGGGTCGCCGAGTCGCCAGTCCTCACCTCACTCGGTTGGAGACCTGGGCCAGGGCGAGGCCGAGGGCGGAGAGGAGCACGACGGCCCAGACGAGGCGGCGGCCGTGGGGGATCTCCCTCTTGAACACCCGGTTCGCGCCAGTGATTCCGATGTCCGCCGCCTGGAAATCGGCTCGCCATTCGAGCGAGTCTGCAGACATGAATGCGTTCGTTCATGAGTCAAGTATGCACACTATTTATTGTAGTAATTGATTTTGTAACTATATCAATGTCTTTTTACAACTAATAGTATGTTATACCATATTATAATTATATATTTGTTCGTGAAACCTCTGAGACAAAACGAATGAATATAACGTCCAAACCAAGAAAAATAAAGTCATGTGGTGATTCGCATAATGATGTGTACACCATCATTTGAAACACGGGCAATTTTGAGCACGGAAGACTAGTGGCCCGAGTGCCTAGAGAGTCTTGGCCTGATCCGAGGGTGCTACTTCTTCGTTCTCGTTTAAGATGGACGACTAATGGGTCTCGTTGAAAACTAAAATTGGTGTTCGTAAAAAAAAAACTAATTTCCTGAACTTCAAGTAAACCACGAGGAAACTCCGGCCTCCAAATACGATTAATTTGCCAAGTTCGGGATGCAACACGACCGACAGGCAGGAAATGGCTTCACCAATTACGAAAGGAAAGCCAGGTGATAAGAAAGAAGAAACAAAAGAAAGATGATACGTGAGGGAGGCGGGATCCCATCGCAATGAAATGGTATGGTATATTATCTAATGTTCGTAACATTCGACGAAGGTCAGCAGAGGCTCGATCAAAGTTCGATCGATCGATTGATTTTGAAGAAAGAGAATCCCATATAGCAAGGTGTGATCCCGTTTGCATCCCAGCATCCCGCACCCCGATGCACCGCATTCGGGCATCCCAGGGGGATCACCGGATGGGCCTTCATGGGGAGGACCCGCATGAAACACCCTGAAGACGTCCCATGAGGTCCCGAACATGATATGGATGTCCTGAGAAGGTGATCTGGTACTGGGAAGGTTGTGGGATGTATCCCTGGGATGTTCCATGGAGCTTCGCATGATTTACGGGGATGTTACGAGTAGATGTTCAACAGATGCATTGTCGGAATCTCTCCGGTCTGTGGAAATCACTACTCATAACCTCAATCACGATCTAGAGACAGGGGAACGAAAACTTTTTCCATTCTATAGGACTAGGAAGTTTAAAGTTTCGATCCGCATTGAGATTGGAAGAAATGAGCAGACCGGATAGCCAAAAATAGGTGCATCATTTAATTTTTCGTAAACAAGTAACGCAATAAAAAAAAAGGACACACAGGGAACTTTTTTACCCTAATTTACCCTTATTACCCTTATTTACCCGTATTAACCGAATTTTACTTACTTGAATGCGAAACATACCATGTGACGGGTCTGGCTCGTTAGCCGTACTTTGGACAGATGTACTGTTGCGATTCATCGTCGCTTATTGCACTGTAAACAATTTTCTCCAATGGGAACACTTGAAGTCACATCTACTTCTAGGAATGGTTTCTTATGATGTGAACGTGTTTCGAAATCCCGCTATGTGCTTCGCATGAACTTCTTGAATGTGTTTTCATTCGTGGGACACGTCTCTATAAACACTTGGAGCAGATGGGCTTTGAACGCATGAAGAGAAATGGGACCACTTAAATCAGATCATGCTATACATTATATGTTCCGGGGATGACTTTCCACCCAGGAAGCCATTTCATCGTCCTCGCTCATGCAACAGGCACAGAATCCAAAAGTGACTATGGACCCCCTGCCATAGGGCCCGATATGTTTCCCGTGGGACCATGATGTTGTGCTCAGGAATTCTATGCAGGATGCCGGAGAACTCATCTTCATCAGTTTACACCCAGATAAACATCGACCCACCCTGTCGGCCCTAAAAGCAGACTACCTCTATCTCGCTCCTCTACACTTACGAGAACCTTTATCTACTCTGCATTAATTAAGGCAAACCTCACAAAATGAAGTAATCCCATGGCTAAGAAATCGTGCAGCCCTTTTTCCGGATCGAGTGTCTTGACACCCAGATCCATAAATTCTAGCAGATCCGAAGGTGAAGACACCATCATAACTCATCCGTACTGTGTAAGCAATGTCAGCAGCACCTCTAAGAACCATCCAATAGCACCCTCCAATACAGTAGCAGTCATCCAATCAAGAATCGCGTTACAAAGACAGAACCTCCAAACCCGAATGAGGTCGGGAAAATAAGGGAGATGAAGGGGAGATCATGGGAGAGTTGGAGTTGGAACGGCAGAGAGTAACGTGCTGGGTGGGCTTGGGCTAATGGGAGGGAGGATTTAGGGACTTAAATCATTTTTCACTTCTCCAGAGTTCACTTACGCGTATATACGGGGTGTTGCAAAACCTTTTGCTTTGGGGGTACCAGAAAAAAAGCGGAAAACAGCACAAATAAAATCACTGCTTCAAATATAAATTAATTCATTCTCGGATCAAATGACGTATAAAAAGCTCGCGTATGACCTGACGTATGACCTGCAAACGCGATGGTTATGATCGGAGTAGGTTTTCGAAGAGACCTCAAGAACAAGACGGATCTCTTCGGAAACCGACTCCGATCATACTCGTCGTGTTTGCAGGCCGTACGTCATAGGCCTCTTTTTATTTTGTCGTTAATGCCATTGGA